TCATAGATGGCTAAATCCCTTTGATTTCATAGATGGCTAAATTCCTTTGATTTCATAGATGGCTAAATTCCTTTGATTTCATAGATGGCTGGGTTCCTTTGTTAAATGTGGACTTTTCACTAACTCATTTAATAATGGACCACAGTTTCTGTCATATTTTACATTTCTATGCCATTCAGGGTACCTAAGTTGCATACCCCCAATAAATCCTTGATTTTGATTGAAAGCTTTCTTACCTTATGAGGAGTGTTGAGTTCTTCCTCCGCATATTGACATGGACTATACTCTGAATTATAGCATGGTGTATTCTCTATTTGGTCTTTGCAGCATTTGTCACAATCCGATTGGCTATCGTCATTGGAATCCTCTAAACTCTTGTAATCACATCCACACTTTTGTGGTGGTTGCCATAGTGGCTGAGAGTCAAAATCTTGATTCAGCACCTTATATTGAGCACCATTTGATAAGTCATGTAATATTTGACCTGACCTTTGTAGGGAGTCTCCATTCTGCATTTGGCAGGTTTCCTCCTCAACTTCCTGCTTACATGATAATCAGACTCAGCATGGCTATCCTGAATATCCGGTTTGACTACAGACTGTGAAAAGTTATCCTGAATATCTGGTTTAACTACAGACTGAGCAAGGTTGTTCTGAATATCTGGTTTGACTGCAGACTCAGCATGGCTATTCTGAATATCTGGTTTGACTGCAGATTGAGCAGGGTTGTCCTGGATATTTGATTTGACCTTAAACTGATTGTCGCATTTTTTACTAGACTCGTTAGCATGTTCTTCTTGTGGTTGTTTTTTGTCAGTAATTCGTCTTAAAACAGTATTTAAAAGAGAACTTGTTTGTTTCTGTACATTTTCGAGAGTCCCTTGCAAAGTTCTCCCCTTGCGTCTGAATAACCAGAAATCCCCATCTTCATTTTTGTATGCAAGTTTTTCTTTGTGTTCATGTTTTTGGAAAACCTCACGCTTGTCTTTAAGACACAGTTCGTCTAGACAACGTTCGATGTCATCTGGGTTATTTGCATAAATGGACGAGATTTCCCCTCCATATTCAGTTTGCATTGCATTGTGGTTACTGTATGAACCATACAAATCATATTTCCTAGTTTGTTGTTTCTTTTCACCATTTTCAGTTTGCATTGCATTGTGGGTACTGTATGAATCATACAAATCATATTTACTAGTTTGTTGTTTCTTTTCACCATATTCAGGTTGCATTGCATTATAGGTACTGTATGAATCGTACAAATCATAGTTGTTAGTTTGTTGTTTCTTTACTCTAGGAAGAATGTCCATTTGTTGACTCTTTTTTCGTACTGGAATGTTGGTTTGGTATTTCTCTTCACATGTAGTGTTATTTGTTTTCCCTTCTTGGATACCTATAGCAACAGGTCTACATTGTTTGCGTTTGGCTCCTTGCTTTTCTGCTTCATGTAACAGCAACGGTTCTACAGTAAATCCTTCACATATCAGATCGCTAGTGACATCATCATCGTCATCTTTATCCGTATGTGGTACAATGCAAGTAAGACTTGGTATAGTCTTTTGCCGTGGTAATGACTTGACATACACTTTCATAGAAGAAGTTCTATCGAGATACACTTTTGGAAATTCATGGTGGTCAATAGCGCCCTCAAAGTTATGTGCTAGAGATTCTCCTGGTGCACAAATCCTATTGAAAATATTGAATGTATTATTTAGTAATTCCACTGAATTCTAAATTGTGCTATGAATTCTATCTGCACTATGAGAACACTGAATTCTATCTGCACTATGAGAGCACTGAATTCTATCTGCACTATGGGAGCACTGAATTCTATCTGCACTATGGGAGCACTGAATTCTATCTGCACTATGGGAGCACTGAATTCTATCTGCACTATGGGAGCACTGAATTCTATCTGCACTATGGGAGTACTGAATTATATCTGTACTACCGGAGCACTGAATTATATCTGCACTATGGGAGCACTGAATTCTATCTGTACTATGGGAGTACTGAATTCTATCTGCACTACATGTATGGGAGTACTGAATTCTATCTGCACTATGGGAGCACTGAATTCTATCTGCACCATGGGAGTTCTAAATTCCATCTGCACTATGGGAGTATTAAATTCCATCTGCACTATGGGAGTACTAAATTCTATCCACACAATAAGTGAATGAATGAATTCTGGATCTTCACTATGGGGCACTGAATTCTATCTGAACTATGGGACACTTAATTCTATATACAGAACTATGGGAACACTATTGGAACACTATGGGAGCAACCAATTCTAAGCTGAACTATGGGAACATCAAATTCTATTCTATGACTGATAGTTGCTTACCTATACACAACAGCTGCAGGATTGAGACCACGAGTAGAGCTATACCATGCACTGAGTTGTGAGAAATGTAGATATGATCTGACTGCTTGGATCAGCATACATCCTGTTACGTAGGCTTCATTACACCTTAAGAAATCACAAAACAACAGACATTAACTAAAACAGTCAACAAATAAACAAGCAGCCTTTCAGCTCAGATAGCTCTGCTGTTAAGCAATGCACATTTCAGTTGTAGATATCATTAGAAAATGAACATATCTGAGAGAGGTTAATCTGAGGTATCTATAAATATGGTATCAAAGCAATAAGACTTGCGGTTTTTACCAAAAAGTCAAACATATCACCAAAAAATGAACAAATCCAAGAGAGATCTACCTAAGGTATCTATATGTATAATATTAAAGCAATTGGTCAAGAAGTCGAAAATATCACTTTTACCAACGAGGGAAAATTTTCGCCAACATTTAGAGAACTAAAGATATCATCATGAAATGAATAAATGTAAGTGAGGTTTACCGAAGGTACATATACACCAAGTATCAAACCAATCAGGCTTGTAGTTTTCTAGAAGAAGTCGAAAAAGTAAAAAGTTGGCGCAGACAACGACCACAGCAACGGACATCACTCATATGATAAGTTCTGCTTGACAAATTCAACAGTGAAACTAAAAATTATTAAAAAGCATAAA